CATCCATCGCAATGTAATCGAGAAATGATACAATCCACGTTCTAATTGAAACTTTCAGGAAAATCTCCATATCTGTGTGTGTGCGTGGACATGTAATTCATCATAACATAGCGTTTGCTAGAATATGACCATCGATAATTGTATGAAATTGGTACGCTGTTCATTATGTACGGCTCGTGGTTTTCAGTGTATTGATTTTAACATTATATTTCCTATTGTGTATAGGCCATTTGACCTTGGGAATACTCACTCACAGGCTGCCAACGGTATATCAATTACAAGGGTGCCTATCTGAAAACACACCGTAATAATATTGCCGCTAAATTTCGACGCACATGATGTACGGTACGTCTACTGTTAACACATTAATAATTAATTAAATAATAATAATAATTTGAACGTTTATAATAATTATGTCGCGTTGTCCATTTACTAGGCATACACCTAATTACTTTTTAGTAACTTTGTCGTCTCAGATATAATAGTCATCAGAACACCTTTCATCAGTATCCTACCTGAAGTAGGGCCTACACCCTTCATCGTCTACTTAATACCAGCATCTGTATTAATCGCCTTCACCTCATAACCATAAAGACTTACCAGTCTTGATCGCTGCCTACCTTGTCACCACTGGGCTTAAGCATACATGTCATCACCATAATATACCCTGTTACCACCCCTGACATCACCATCACTTACCACAGGGGTTCTCAACTGGCGCAAGTGCCTGTTATGCAGCCAGCGAGAACAAGCCGAAAATAATATTTTCCGTTAGGCTTGGGCCTAATTTTTTAACCTAATTTTGCATTCTGTTTTGCAAAACTAGCCTATATATTGCCCCACAAATTGTAGCAGTTAATCAATCAAATTGGAAGAACTATCGCAGCAAAATAGCAAAGAATTACTGTATTACAGATGACCCATTGTGTGATATATACATTTTGACTTTTGCATACCGAAGACAAGGTTAACAAACCCTCCCTCTAGTTGCGCCTCCGGCGGTCGGATGGCGTTGCGCGCCATTATACACCTATTGTCCTGGCCTTTTATATTTATTCAATGAACAATTTTGGCACCCATTTCGATATAGTTGAGAACCCCTGACTTATTACAAACAGATCCATCAACACTATCACCATCACACTCGTCATCACCCTCCTCATTGTATCCGTCATTATAAACGCACCTGCCATCATTATAATACATCATAAACAAACCTGGTTTTAATTTTATCGAATTTATTCTATAAATCATATAAAATACTACAAAATGTAAATAAAAATTAATGATACGTAATTACAAATATAGCCCTAGGCGCAACAATTTATGTGGAATACCCAAATTGGTTTTGATAAGTGATTTCTTTGGGGTTTCTAAACATTAAGATAAATAATCTATGTATTCTTATAATTCCAGCAATAAAAGTTATCTCAGCGGCATTGTGAGGTGACGTCATCATAATCTGAACTGCCATAACCAACACACTGACAATTATTACCCGCTGTTGCCAGTATAGATGACGTCACGTATTCACTGCACTTTATGTTAGCTTTCCAAACATCAATACGCTATTATAACTAATTCTCCATCAGGACCATGAATTTTGTCTCACAACCATCGTTACCATCATGATGACGTCATGATTGTAATCTGGTATATATCTCATACGATTATGGTATTATTATAAACGCCGTGATTCGGTCTATAATCATCGCAGCCTTCCACAATAATGCCAATGCTAATCTATACCTATTAATGCAAATGATAGCCTTCATAATTGTTCAGTTCATAATGATAAGGAAATGTAAAGGAAGTAACATGCGACTTGCAGCTTTAACTCACGATTTTTTGTTCGGGCTTCGGACCGGATCCGGGATTGATTAGTCAGTATACTTTCTTTCTTTCATCTTGTCCAATCAGCTGCAAAGAGGCGCATATTCCGGTCTGTCCTCAATAAAGCATAGACCGGGCTAACCCCCCGCTTTTCTCGAATGATGTGCAGGGTTCTTTAAAGCGCACACGAGCCAATTTGTGTACATTGAGCCTACAGTTTATAGTCCTCATCCGAGAAGACTTGTTCCACCACCAGAACCACAGGCAAGCGTGCCGTTCGAACCAGTGCCAATAGTATGGCTGTACGGGAGGTTGCGGGGCCCCTGCCTTAACCGCCCGGACAGTCAACTCGCCATCATAAGCCTAAGGATAATGATAATCATTTTATATGATGATAATTGCAATAATATTAATAATAGGGCCTGTTTATAATATGAATGATAGTAGAATTAATATTGATAATGATGGTTATAAAATATAATTCATATTGATAATTATAATAGATAATAATTTTTAAAATGAAAATGATAAAAATAGTTATAATAATAGGCCAATGATGGTGGTGATGATGATGATCATCATCATCGTCATCATCATAATCATTATCATCATCATCATGACGATTATTTTCAATAATATTATGTGCTTTAAAAAACGATGTCATGTGTTGAGGCTTAAGGTGAGGTGATTTTCCAAGCTTGTTGTTAAATTTATTTTCAATTTCTGTGCAATTTTTATGTCTGTTTGAGGAATTAAATTCATGCATGATTTATTTGTTAACAAATTTTATTTTAATGACCTCGATGTTTTAAATTTAAAATATAATGCAATCTTGATAGAAGGAAAATGTTTTAATTTTGCCATTTTTCATAGGTTTTTCACCTAAGTGATGAAGACGGAGTGTGTAAATTCATTTTGGCTTCTTCGAAATAATAGGTATTTTATCTAGTATCAAAATGTTACAATGTATGTAATGTTTGATATTCTTACAGTGTATTTAATTTTTTACCATTAACATGCATTTTAATGTAAACATTCGTAATTTTGCTTTTTATCAATTTCTCAAGCTCTCTTTGTGGTAATTGAGTTTTTACTGCTTAGCGATGTTTTTTTTTTAAATAAATCAATCTCGAAATTTTAGAATGGTGGTTTAGGGTTAGTCTTATATGGAGACTTAGGGATCGGATTTGTTACTAAGTCACGGGGAATTCAGGACATTTGACAAGGATTTAACTAACGGCTCGGATACTGCGTCACTCAAATTAATATACAGCTGTTTATTCAGTCCATAATAATGTATGATTAATATTTTTTATCTCCGTATTATAATGCCACATCTTGGCTTACAGTATTCTCATTCATGTGGCAATAGGCCAACTCTCGCCAATCACAGGATTTTATTATAATCCGCTGCGAACAAACTCCCATTATAAAACTATCAGTTCTTCCCCACTACTAAAAAAAGGCATGCTATAACAATAGTCTGACTCTTAAGGGCCTGGATTTAAATCCATGACTAAAAACAGCTCCACTTCATAAGCCTCGTAATGAGAATGAGAACTAGCATCACAGGTAAGGGAACGTTGAGGTAGCCTTCCCACCGACAACCCCCGAAAAATGAACCCATTTTAAAACTATTACTATTACATATTACTTTTAAGATAGGCCTATTGTGTAGTACATAATATATTATGAAAATACACGTTTTGATCATTACAATTGAGTGTGAGATTATTTAAAAAGGAGATTGAAACTACGTTTAATTTTTTTTTTTTAGATAATTTTGATAGATGCGTTTAAAATAGCGTAGAAGCTCTTTACATTAAAAAGAGTGATCATGAATGTACGTGTCCGATGCATTTCATAGGCCTACATTTATATTTCGACCATCAAAAATACAGCAGTGACGATATGAACAAAATGTGAATGAAATCAAGTTTAATAACTTTGACCAGGGACAGATAAAGTCAAGAAATTACTATAACTAGAGTCAGCTGTCACTAAAAAAAAAAAAAAAAAAAAAAAATAGAAAAACGTTTATGATATATAATAAAATACATTACGATGGCTTCTAAATATAAGTTATAAATGTTTACTATGAGAAAAATGTAAAACTCACAATTAATTTAACAATTAACATAATTACAATTTGGGAATGGGTGGAGGGTGGAATGGGAAACTGCAAATTTCGAGAATATTGAAATGAGGGCGGGTTGTAGTTTTATTCGCTTGTACGTTCGATTCTTCGGGTTGTTAGTTGTGAAACCGGTGAGGGGGTGGGGGAGGGGGTGGAGAGAAGTAGGCCTACTGTGGATCCATTACTCGGTTTAAAATCCAACGGCATTTGTATCATTTCTAATGCGATCTTTTCAAACTATGCTATTTATATAGTAATCTTTCTCAAGAAATAATACAAAATAATGAACATAATAAGTGCATCTTAAAATGTTAATTAACATCATTTGCATCGCAAATTGTTGTTTACGTCGGGTTAAGGTTTAAGGATGCTAGACGCTGAGCCTATGACATCTACTAAATAAAAGCACTATACTTCGTTTATAAAACACTGAAATAACTGGGTCCGTAAAAAAAAAACAGATTGCTACTAAAACTATTCCCAAGTTTAAGAATTGCTACAAATACAATAGAAACAAAATCGCATAATTTAGTTTGAAACCTGCGTATGTCAATAACTAATGTAAGTATCGTTTATTTCAAAGCGCGTGCGAATGACAACAAACGATCTGCTTTTTAAAAGCTTTTAACATCTCTCATCTCACCCACAGTCAAACAGATATTCCAAAAGATTCTAAATAAGAAATAACGATAATTAATTGAAATGTAATAGAAATAACGCACGATTCACGATAGGTGTTCTTCATTTTACAAAATAAAAAGGTATGTCCACCACTTACCTCATTCCGTGAAACTATAAATCCCAGAAAAGAAGATTCCAAAATATGAAATAACGGTAATTGTAAATGAGTATCTGAGTTGAAAACGCGCGTAAACCACGCAAGCTTTATAATAAATAACATAAGCTGACCACTAAAACCATGAATCCCATAGAATGCTCCAAATAGAACGATAATTGATTAACATTTTATTGATAGCGCACGCAAACCACGTCAAGCGTTCTTAATTATATAATTATCCAAAACACTCACCTCATTCTTAAAAATATATAAATCCCATAGAAGATTCCAAATAGTATATAACGATATAGACCTGTTGTTCAATCAAATTGGTACATTATCTTTTGGAAAAATAAAACCTATATAAATTTGCGTATAAGCGTCAGGACACGAGGACATTTCACTTGAGTCGATTGTACAGTGTTAATGTGACATACTGGTCAGGACTGCTGTGAAGTCCCAGTGTTATTATACCTTCAGACTACAGCTCGGAAGTAGGTGGCGCTAGATAAATTTTGACAAAGTGTCCAATGTGCTCTCTGTATTTCTGTGTGATGAATAATTACAAAAGTTAGGGAAAAAAATGGTTGTAGTAATATAAAACCAACGAATTTATCATGTTTGTATTTACTGTATTTAATTTCATTTTCTAAACATTTTTTGAGCTTAGAGTAGCAGGTGTTGAAACTGGTTGTGATGAACCGTAAAGACTCTTTTCTCCCTCGTCACTCTAGTACTAGGCCAATATCCATCATACTACTTACTTCACCCCCTGTGAAGTATTGTATGTTATAGCAAACCGTCTTGTAGATGAGACGTTCAGTCTTTGATTCTGTCTCATGTGCGTATTAAAGGATGCAGAGACTCATCTGAAAAGAGTATAGGATTGCCGGCCTATTGCATATTATGCATGAGTGGTGGCGCACTTCGTCTGCCGTCGGTCCTCGGGGGGCTGGTTCAAATTTTACTAGTAGTAGTTATCAACATGTACCAGTTGAGTTATTATATTTAACTTTAACCTTAAGTGATTTGTGTAAAAGCAGGTGTAGTGTTCAGCCACACGATACAATAAATGGCAAATTCAAATCTCTATTTGATATTATTTTGTTCATTTCTGAAAATTTGCTGGTCTCAAATTATGTAAAATAAAAGCACGAAGTACAGAATGAGGAGAGAGTCTCGACGGAGAGGGACGAACGAGGTGGTTGTTGACTGAGGATACGGCCCACCGAGGGCTTCTAGTAGAGGGGTTCGCAGGGGAAGTCGTGGAAAATCCGAGAAACTAAAGATTTTAGAGGTTTTTTTAATGGACTTCTGAATCTCATGGCCGTTCCTGTTGAGAATAACAGTATGGCATTCGCGAAAATTGTGCCGCGTTTTTCCCTCGACGAGGGGAATCTCATTCCGACGAAGGCCCTGTTCCTCTTCCCTACTTAGGCCACCACATGCATTGATCACATATAAAGAAGTCTATGAATACCGTACGATGAAGCGATTTACAGGAGAGGAACGCTGTCAAAAAAGAGGTTCTACTACCAATATGAATCTTAATTCATAAAGTACACAGATATAATATGGAGAGTGTATATCATCGGAAGTTTATTTTTCAAGATTTTTACTTGATAGATACTGAATTTAATTTTGTTTCAGCCGTCTTCTAGCTGTGTGTATATATCATGCTAGCGTTGCACATTCGCTCTCACGAGTGATAATTTGCTAAACGCCCTCTATAAGCGTGGCTGATTACTTTCTCTTGAACAATCCGAATTAAATTGATTTCGGAGCGCCACCTCTACAGCTGAACTTTAGTTCACACTAAGATGATTTAAATGCATATACATGACGCGTTTGTTCCATTAATGTTCTTATTCACAACGTGTCCGTCGGCTACTTTTACAAACCGTGAGGTTTACACTGACAATCTTGGCATAACACGTTGGTCTCTTGCGTTTTCGTAAAGTGTAAAAAAAATGCTTGCACATTCTTTAATGTAAATCAATATGTTTACCAATTTGAAAGTCGAATTCAATTAATGGCATAATTGTAGCCCGGACGTAGAAATGCTTTGTCAGACCCGTGATAGATGTCATTGCTTAGTTAGAATTTGTCCTAAGCCAATTCACACACAGCAAATTCCCCCTCTATCCATGCATCTTCCTATGCTGGTGGACACACACTCGTGAAATGCTCGTCGAAATGACTTAATTTTCGTGCATTCGGGCCAACAGCCGACTTTATTCAACTTCTTCAGACCACTAACGCCAAAGCACTCGCAGTGGGGTATCTATAAGTCTTGAAATGGGGATGCTGAGGTGCTGATGGGGAGAGGGGGTGCGAAAGTGAGGTGGGAGCTCTGTGATCAGTTGAGGGACGCTAAATTGCAAAATAAGGTGATTTAGGTGATTTTGAACTATAGGTTGCAAGTGATTTTTTTGGGGGGCGACTTGGGGGAGCGAGTAAATTTTGGAGGGGCGTGCTCACACCCCCCCCCCCTTCCGCGCATCCCCTAGATACGCCACTGGGCACTCTTATAAGGTGTTGTATGTGTATAAGAACAGGGCTATGATTTGTATATAATGAATACATGTACCATGCAAAAGCGAGAAAAAAACCAAGATCAGCTAAGGTAGAAATGCTGCTATAAATCTGATGCAACTTGATGTGACAAATACTTTGAACTATAGGTTGCAAGTGATTTTTTTGGGGGGCGACTTGGGGGAGCGAGTAAATTTTGGAGGGGCGTGCTCACACCCCCCCCCCCTTCCGCGCATCCCCTAGATACGCCACTGGGCACTCTTATAAGGTGTTGTATGTGTATAAGAACAGGGCTATGATTTGTATATAATGAATACATGCACCATGCAAAAGCGAGAAACAAACCAAGTACAGCTAAGGTAGAAATGCTGCTTTAAATGTGATGCAACTTGATGTGACAAATACCCTAAATCTACAATTATTATTGTCGCTAAAATGTTTTATCAATAAAGCGATGCATTTACGGGCGACATGGGATTCCTAACATTACATCTTGCATTTAACTCGTCTGGTTTGCAGGCGAAATATTAAACGAAAAAAAAAACAAAAAACATCTTACCATTGAAACACACTAGATTTCATTTCACGTAACGTCAAGTCGGACTGTACAATGTTGCCGATCAGTAATGCAACATCTCGGAATAGTAAAAACATCAAAGTATTTTTTAACTCATGTATTTCGGCGCAATAAGTCACATCGGGGCGACGTGTCATCCCCTCCCCAATAATTGTAGATAGGTGATGTAAATCATAATCATGCAAGTACCTGTCTAGCAGCATCCACTTATCTTCTGCTTCTTCGTGGGGATGTCGCTTGGGGAACAACTAAATGTTAAATGTGGTTTAAAATAAAAGTAAAAAAAAAAAAAAAATAAAAATAAAAAAAAAAAAAAAAAAAACTTGCAAAAAAAACAAAAAAACTTGCAACGTAAAATTAATTGACATGTGACATCTCTATATGTATTCTCTGCACGATAATTAGTCGAGGTACTGGCTATTAAAGATGTATTTTTTGAAGGTTTAAATTGGTATATAACAGCAATCGGTTTCTGTGGGACGACGTGGTACCCCCTCCCCATCCAGTTGTTGTACCGTACGTGATGTAGATCAAAATCACGCAAAGGCCTGTCTAGCAAACACTTGAGACCTCTGATTCTCTGTGGGGAAGTCGCTTGGGGAACAACTACGGTTACTTTTAACTAGGGTTAAAATAAAAGTTAAAACCTACAACATTAAGTGAATTAACTCGTCACATCTGTACGTTTCTCTGCACAACGTGCAGTACCGTATGTGTTACATTATGCATCGTTACTAACGATTTTACACGTGCTTGTTAAAACTGTAGTGCGATGACGTAGATCACTGTACATAATAATATTGTTGTATTCCATATCCACTCTTAAATGTAGAAATAAGTTCATCTGCTTCTTGGTAAATATGATTACATTTTACTTTTTAGTTGGCCAGGAAATTACAGTCAAACATCAGCTTTTTGTAGATTGTTAATTTACATTCTCAAGTGCTGAAATGTCAAGATTTCCAATACTTGAGAACATGGATTGATAATCTACGAAACTATTGCATTACATTCCTCTGTAGTTTTCTGGTTTAACTGACAAAAAAATAGTAAAAGATAGGCCTAATAATTTTAATGTGTAGGTCTATGTAAACAATTTGTAATTATAGGACACGGCGGATTCGGAAGAAAGTCGATCAAAATGTGTTCAAGTGCTGCGTTGGCGTGTAACGCTTGAATGTTCGTGTTGTTTCAGACTTGTGGGTGCGTTTTGAGGCAAAACGCAATACTCTTGCACCGAGTAGCAAACGCAAATTTTGTGAAAATTGGCTTACGCGTATTGACGAGTAAGCCTTAACGCAGCTAAACTTTTTTGTCAGGAGGGAATTAATTAATGACGGAACAGCCGCGCGTGTTGCGTTTTACAAGTTTAATTCAGACTGACGTGCGAATGTTCCGATCTTATCTTCAACGTGTTGTATATATTTCTACTTACACAGCCTGCAACTATTCTATGACCTTACAAAATTAAACTGACGGGATTTTTTCTTATGGATTGAACTCAAAGGCACTGCCTCGAATGATTTATTCACTGTTGGAATACATTTTGGATTTACTGTATTCCTCAAACACATACACTTTGATTTCCACTGCGCAGGTACTTTTCTACGGACACAGACCTCATGTCCGGAATGTTACGGCTCAATTTTGCTGCCATAGAATACTTTAAAAGTTATTTTACGTAGTACATTGTCCCCATCGGCGAATTCAGAATTTGGGAAATGGGAGCTGTAGAGGAAAGTCACGCTTAGAATGTCAAATATAATGTAATAGCTCTAATGCAATATCCTATACTCTAAATCATTTCCCAACTACAACTATTAGTACTTCTAGGCCTACTTCTACTTTCTACGTCGATAATCGACATGATCCAACTCTGGACATGTCGAGGCCCACTGAGTGCGTGTGTGCACTAATAGCTAGGCCTACAGTACTAGTCTTAAGCTTGGTTTCTTAAAATCGCTACACTGTCGCAAAGTGTTTTCAGTGCAATCGTGACTGCGCATCGTAGAAGTCCCCAGATGCAATCTGGAAGGCTCCCCGATTCGACCGATCATTTAGCATCACCGAAAGCCGTCGGCGATGCGTGTAGCGATTGTATGTAAACCAAGCTTTACAGTAGGCCTACTCCCAGCTACTAGTAGGCCTATATTAACATCTGCTAAGCTTAATAGTACATAATAAATAGCCACCAATTATTCAATATAAAAATAATTTGTTTAAAATATTTTCTTGAACAGTTATTGAAAGTTGATGATAGAATAATATGCATAGGTGCCTATTCCATTACACGTGTTTACGTAATATTAAG